ATGCTGATTTCTTGTGTGTGTGTGCTGATACTAGGGATTGGGGAGCATGAGCATGCTTGGGCAGGGGAGACTAGGAGAAGGATGGTTATGTAAGGAACATTGCACACTGATTGAATGTTTGTAAATAGCATACCAAATCCCATTAATATATATAATTAATAGATGCTAATGAAAAGACTTGAAATAAATGAATATTACACACAAACTTACTGCTGAATAGAGGAAGAGGCCATAACCTTTAGGGACATTTATTTACTCTTCTTCATTCTTACTGATAAGTAAGGACATCCTTGGAGATTTGGAGAACATGAACAAATTTGGCTGATTATGAGCTCTGTGCATGGTGCCCCCAAGCTATTACAATACTTAATCCTCAGCCTGTGCCTGTGGATCTTCAGTTTGTGGCTCTAAACCAGTAGCTCCATGACCCTATTTGCTCCTCCCATTATTGTTTGAATCAGGAAGCTCTTGTCTATTACTGTGTTTATATCAATCCTGAGGACAGAGATGGAGCCTTACCTTTAGACTTGGCAGAAGAAGGTGGGTCATTGGATATTCAGCTCTTGGTTATGACACAGCAGAAACCCAGCATTTTTCTGTAAGTACTGGAGAAGGTGATGGATGGCAGTGGGACTGTGGAAAATGTTGCTTCCTCATCATCAGGACAAACATGTGCTCTGTGTACCCAGGGAAGAATACACCAATGTGGAACAATTCACTTATGGGTTCTGTGGAGTCTAAGTTCTTGATTGTGGTAGGGCCCCAGAAATCTCACTCAATGTTTTTTTCTTTCTTCCTCATTGGTTTTATTTCCCCTGGACTGATAATTCATTTCCATGATAGGGGAAAATGAGTCCCTCCAAACTGTTTCACAACACTCCAAATGATTAAGGAGGAGATAATAGGAACAAAGAGAAGACAACAGTAACTACAACATCATGAATCATTATAAAGAAGTTTCCTAGACACCAGGCACTGAATTACTACATCTGCACAATTTTTCTCTTGGTATAAGTGCTCATGTTGTTATTATTTTACATGAAAGGAAGGATAGAACACTTTTTGTAGCTTATACCATGTTTTTAGGTAGGAGTGAGAGAGGAATGTTTTATCCTGTCTGTCAGATTACAGACACAAGGTGTCTTGCTATGAAAACCCTGGCAGGGTGTCCCCTTGACAATACAAATATTTCTGTCACATCTAGAAGAGATCCCTTGCTCACTGGGCTCTTCCTTGTGTGGATTCCTGCTAGATAATAGGGCACGGCAGTGGGTGACCCCAGCCATCCACTATGGAAAGCACAGCCCCAGCCCATGGGCACAGATCACAGAAGAGCAGACAAGGAGGGTTCAGCACAGACTTGACTCTTGCCTAGTTCAGGAGATCCTTGCACCTGTGCACACTCCAGAGAACTTCTACTCAGCCACTCAATCTCAAGGGTAGATGAAGTCAGGATTTTATATCACTTGTGCTCAGAAAACTGGGAATAGCTTAAATAAATAAATAAATAAATGCCCATAATTTTATGTGGCTAAACCTCTGTATGTCTCCTTCAAATGACTAATAGTTGGGAAACAATTAAAAATTTTATGCATCAGATTCAGAGACTAGAAGTTTAATTTTCACCTCTGGGCACCTGTTTCTTTTCTAAACAGAGTGCAGGTTGTTAGTGTCTAAAACTCAGCATTGTCATCTGAAGTGCTTTCTAGTGGAGAAAACGGCAATGATGACAGGATAAATAGAGTAGATAGGTAGAATAGTGTGATAGGTAGAAGATGAACATATATGTAAAGGAGAATAAAGTTTACATGTTACTATTACTAATAATGTATATTTACATTATAATAATGGTAAGTTTGAGCATCACACCATTCAGCTAAGCTCTTCATCCATCAGAAGCAACATCTTCCTTCTTCTATATGTTGTCAATTTGGGGAGGAATCATTTATTTCTAATTTCCCAGAGCCTATATATTGCTAAGCACAGAGGAGGACTCAAAAATAGAAATGAATGTTTGTAAATAGCATACCAAATCCCATTAATGATGTAAATATTTCTGTCACATCATATTAAAGAGACTGTTTAATATTAAATACATCACATCATATTAAAGAGACTGTTTCTTGGTTCACACAATCAGTGTAACTTCAACACACTTGGTGCTTTCCTGTCTGCATTCTCACACTTTTCAGTAATGTTCCATAGAACTGCAGACAAGATACAATAGCTCTTGTTTGGGTCTATGTCATGGACACCTGGATCCTATAATCCTTTTAACCACATCTGCATGATGAATTATTCAAAAATATAACACATGCTTTCACGTGTATCAAAAACAAAAAAGAGGCAAACACACGGGGTGAGTGAAGCTTAAGCTTGGGATCAGACACATGTCAGAGTTCCTATAGTCACAGTTCAGTGATCTTTAACATTGACGTTCATCAGTAGCTAGTTATTTCCACAGCATTGGATTCTATACTTTGATAAAGAAACTACAATAATAAATATTTTTAGATTTCAACTTTACTTATGTGCCATGCATGAAGGGGAGATTGCTGTTATTCTCCCCATCAGTAAGGAGTACAAGTTCAGAGAAATGGAGAGATTTACACATGTTCTGCATATTGTGGTCCATCAATGATTTAAGACTAAATTGTGAATTTCCTGTCTCCCATCCCAGGACATGTCTTCTCCTCTGGAGCCCAGTGGAGATGATTCCCATAGGAGACGAAATTTCTTAGTGATCCATTATGCAAGGATTGTTAATAGACACAAGACAAGGATATTTTGAAGATATATATTAAAAATAAGGAAATACATTGGTAATGACAGGCTCTTTGGGGGCAGCAATATAGGTGATTTGTAGTTAAATCAAATAGACATAAGTTGTTGGAAGTCAAAGAACAATCCTTTCCACCCACATAGTGCATGGAAATTTTCACTAGTGTGATATTGAGAGAAGAACAAGAATTTTGAAAGTATTCTCATAATAATAATAAAAAATAACTTACAAATGAAGTCTCACCCTTAGGTAATTCTTTGCATTAGTTAAAGATTTGAACTCAATGAATGTAAAATTGCATGTGATTGTAAACTAGTGCACAAAAGCATGTTGTGACATACTGAATAGATGAGCTTTAACATATTGTTGGGTAAGTTTTTAATAAAAAATATTTTGTAGAAGCATATATCAAAAGTTGAAATGGAAACATCTATGGGAAAATCTACCACCCAATTCATGACTGAATTTGCCTGTGGAACAAGTGATCAGAAAAGTGAAGTCATGCTGATATAAAGTATTGAAACTTCTTGGGCCATAATTCAAATCTCTACAGAATTTCAGATCTGAAGCACATATTAATAAATGTGTGTATTTTAATGACTATAGTGAATATTATTAGCTATAATAGCGGAAATCATTAATGGAATATTTTCTAAATTCCAGGAAATGTTATGTCACTGGTTCTCAATGCTAGTGTGGAAAAGAACCATCAAAACTTCACAGGTAGATATTATGATGAATTTAATTTGGAGAGAAGCTCAGGATACATATATATTAAGATTTCCACAGATAACTATATTGGTGACTGAGACAGAATAAGTCTACATAATTTAAAATGTTTTTTAAACCCTTTCTGACAATTAACCTTTGGATGTTAATTATTATCTACATTTTACAGGTGAGAAAACTTCCAAAGTATGTTTACTTTTTTCCCTGAAACTTTCATTTCTCAATTTTACCAATGAAGTTATAACATGAGCTGACAAAATAATGTCCCAAAATTATCTTCATGTAGTTAAAGTAGGGGAAGTGTAGTCCACATATGAGGCCGGACTAATTTGAAAACCTATGAACTAGGCATATGAAGGCTCCAACTTTGCAATATCCATTTAGAATTTTGGGTCATATGCTAGGTGCTAAATCATCAAATGAAAATAAAAGTTTATGATTAGAACAACAATACAGCAGCATTGGCAGGCCATCCCCATTAAATGAATTATCAAGAGAAAATAAAAAAAAAAAATATCTGTCTTCCTAGCAGATACCTTCCTGCGATGACATGGGGTTGAACAAAAATGTAATGCCAAAAAATTTAAAAATTTCATAAGTGTGTCTTATTATTACATTATTCTTTAACCAGTGACTTACAGGTGCACTGTACACTAATATCACATTTGGCTAACTGATGTTATGTGATTATGTGCATTTAAACAATGCATCAAAATTTGAAGATCACCAAAGCCAGAGAGAGGAATTTCTCTGATACAGTATTTATAGTCATTTTAATGCCAGGAATTTTTTCATTGCCTTAAGTTATATTTGACAACTTCTTGATTTATTTTAATGACAATAATTTTCAAATGGGAAGAGGATTTCTTCTTCCCCTCTTTAATTATTATTTTTGAAGGTGCTGGAGATGGAGCCCAACACCACAGGCATGCGGGTTCTGCTATTTTATTAGAAAAGTAGACTGTACAAAACAAGCCAGACTCAGGAAGATGAGCAGCACAGTTTTCCTCTCCTATGTGAAAGTTAGAGAGAAAAGGGGGGGGGGATGGTACTCATCAAAATAAGAGGGAGGACATTAAGGAAGAGGTAGGAGCTTGGGGAAGGTGAGGAGGGAAATGGTAGGTACTAGGAAATAAAACTGATCAAATTGTTAAATGCATGTACAAATAGACCACGATAAAACCTACTCTTCTATATAAGTAATATACACCCATAAAAATTGTCAGAATGGACTATATTTCACTGTGGTCATAGACTTGTTATGGGTAATGATCTTGGTCTCTCATTTACATATGAACAGAGAAGGGTGTGAAACACAGATGCCAGTAAAGCAAGAGTTCAGAGAAGACTCAGTTTGTCAAGAAAATATTTCTGAAGGTGCATGGATTTCAAGTATGAGTACTTGTTTGTGCTGAACACCTGTTGTTTCCTTATTTTATTCCCAAAGTTGTCCGAGTAATATAGAAGAACGGAATTTAACCCATGTCTCAGAATTCCTCCTCCTAGTCCTCTCAGAGGGTCCATACCTACAGCCCATCCTCTTTGGACTGTTCCTGTCCATGTACCTGGTCACAGTGCTTGGGAACCTGCTCATCATCCTGGCTGTCAGCTCTGACCCCCACCTCCACACCCCCATGTACTTCTTCCTCTCCAACCTGTCGTTGACAGACATCTGTTTCATCTCCACCACGGTCCCTAAGATGATTATGGACATCCAGACTCACAGCAGAGCCATCTCCTACATGGGATGCCTGACACAGATGTCCCTTTTTGCCAATTTTGTCTGTATGGATGACATGCTTCTGACTGTGATGGCCTATGACCGGTTTGTGGCCATCTGTCACCCCCTGCGATATCCAGTCATTATGAACCCTCGTTTCTGCGGCTTCTTAGTCACGGTGTCTTTATTAATTAGCCTTTTCAACTCCCTGCTGCACAGTTTGATTATACTACAGTTTGCCTACTTCAAGGATGTGGAAATTTCTAACTTCTTCTGTGACCCTTCTCAACTCCTCAATCTTGCCTGTTCTGATACTTTTACCAATATCATAGTCATTTATGTTATAGGTGGCATATTTGGCTTTCTTCCCATCTCAGGGATCCTTTTCTCTTACTGTAAAATTGTTTCCTCCATTCTGAGGATCCCATCCTCAGAGGGGAAGTACAAAGTCTTCTCCACCTGTGGGTCTCACCTGGCAGTTGTTTGTCTATTTTATGGAACAGGTATTATAGAGTACCTTGGCACAGCTATCTCACATTCTCCCAGGAAGGGTGCAGTGGCCTCAGTGATGTACACTGTGGTCAGCCCCATGCTGAACCCCTTCATCTACAGCCTGAGGAACAGGGACGTTAAAAGTGCCCTGAGGAGGCTGCACAGCAGGACGGTCTAATCTTTCTTTGTTTCATCTTTTCTTGGAGTGTGGATTCTAAACCAGGACAGCCCTGTTACTGTGTTCATATCAGTCCTTAGGAGCAAGTCAGAGCCTTGATTGTGCCCCCAGCAGGGGAGGCTTCTCACATCTGCAGTCCTTAGTCATGACCAAGCAGGTAGTCAGCGCAACCAAGAATGTGCTGATGGAGACAGGATGGGAGGAGGGATCCACATAGCACTTATTCATTATCTACAACAAAAAATGTAAATATGTTTGTTATCATTTCACTAATTTTTTGGATACCAGGGATTGAACCCAGGGTTGCTCAATCATGGATCCACACCCCCAGCCCTTTTAATTTTTTTTTATATTGAGACAGGGTCTCACTAAGTTGCTCAGGGCTTCACTAAATTCCCAAGGCTGGCTTTGAACTTGCCATCGTCCTGCTTCAGCCTCCAGAGCTGCTGGGATCACAGGTGTGTGTCACCGCACCCGCAGTCATGCATGGTGTTGGTGTTATCTTTGGATTTATTCCTATCTCAGGGAGCTTTTTCTGTTACTATAAAATTGTTTCTCCATTCTGAGTGTCCAGTCAAATATCAATCCTTCTCTACATGTGGTCTCACCTGTAAGGTGTTATATATTTTATGGAACCAGCTTTGGAGTCCACTTTGGTATCCCATTCCCTGACAACTCCAGACCTCAGTGATGTGCATTGCATTCATCTCTATTCTGGGTCCTGAGGACACAGAGCAGAACAGTCCAATCTCAGGACCTGCAGCATATAGTTAGAAGGTAGGCTAGAAAAACTGCAGCAAAAGCTAGTCTCTATATATGTATTCCTTCTCCCTCTTTACATTATTTTTGTAGACCACATATATGCTCTGATGTTTTATAATAGTGTTGCATTAGCCAGGGTTAGAATCAGAATAAGTATGTAGTTGTGAGAATGGGTACAAATTTTCAGTTTAGCAAGATGAAAATTTTCTGGAAATGGACAATGATAATGGTTAAACAACAAAAGGAATGTAATTGATACTACTGATCTATGCACATAAAATTGGTAAAAATGGAAGTTGCTGTTTCCTGTATATTTTATCACAAGAAATAGAATAGGTACAAATGGATCATTCAAAACAAGGGAAAGAAATAAATTGAGTGAGCAATACCCCAGAGCTTGCTTGAGTAGAGGAAAACACCTTAACCTTGGGGATATTTATTTTCTCTTCTTCTTTTTCTACCTCTATCCTTGTGAGGAAGTGCTTAGAGATTAGGAAAACAGAGCAAATTGGCTAATTACAAGCTCTGTGCATGTATCCTCCAAGTTTATTAAAATGAATCAGCCTGTGTCTCTAGCACTTGAGTTTGGTAGTTCAGAGGGCTCCGTACATGGTCTCCTCCTCCCAGAGTTGTCTGTAGCAGGAAGCTCCTACCTGACCTTGTGTGGCTATCAGTCCTGAGGAGTGACTCTGAGCCTTCATGGGCACCTGATTAGGGTGTAACTTTGGATCCTCAAACTTAACCAGTATGTCCTGAGGGAGACATTGGATAGGAAAAGGGCTATCAGAAATATTGTTTCTACGTCACCAGGACAAATATGATAGTCTGGGTGGCCAAATGAAAGGATATCAGTGTGCAAAACAAAGAGTTATGAGATCTGGGTTTTATATTCTTGGTTGTTTTGAGGGTGAGACATCCAACTCCAGCTCACCTCCACTAGCTGTACTTCCAAAAGACACCTCATCCATTCTAGCAGAAAGCAGGTCCCCCAAACTCTTTACTCAGCAATCCAAGAGGAGTATAAAGGTGATCATGGTGTTTAAGAGGAAAATAGCAGCACACGTAGCTTTGTGATGCATCACCAAGGGCTTCCTAAATGCCAGGTTCAGAGCTGTGTTTCACAGGATTTGATTTATCTCAGAGTCTCTGCAGAGCCTTTCTTTAGTTACACGTGTTCACATTATTATAGAGAAAATAAAAGTATATTATATTTATGAAAATTTTGCCAGGTTGTTAGGCAGAGATGAGTAAATCTGTTTGATTGAGGTGGTCTAAATATGGACACTGGGCTTCTGGGCAGGAGAACCCCAGAAGGCTGTTCCCTTGACAACCTAATTTGCCATTTCCACTCCTGTCACTCCAGAAGTGACCCTTTGCTCACTCATGTGGGTGTTCCCAGAAGATCAAAGAGAGAGCAGTTGACATGAAAGCAACATCCAACATGGGAAGAATAGATCAAGGGCAGAGATCACAGGAAACAGGGGCACATAAAAATTCAACATAGACCCCTCCCCACTGCAGGACACTCTGAAGCCCTCTCCATCCTCCTTGCTACTGGCCCACTCAGTCTCAAAGGAGACAATGCCACCTCTTGGTTTCATTCCTACACAAGAAACTGGAGAGTTTTAAAGGGTTCTCCAGATGTACTGGTGGTCAGAGTTCTGGACCTCTGCTTAAAACTTTCTGATAATTGGGAAATAAGGGACAAGATTACTGCATCACACCCAGACAATGACTGCTGAATTTTTTACATGTTTATTATAGTTATACATAATAGTGGAATACTCTGCAACTATTTATGCATGTGCAAAACAAAATTTGGTCCATTTCTTTCCCCAGGACCTCTCCTATCTCTTTCCTTCTCCTTCCACCTGATTCTATTTCTTTACTTTAATGGACTTATTACTATTTTTATAATTGGTGCATTTTAATTCTACCCCAAAGTGAGATTCACTGGGGTTCATTTGTACATGCACTTAGCATCGTTAGGTCAGTTTCATTCCTCAGGATTCTGCTTTCCCTCCTTCCTCCCCCACCTCCACTGTCCTCCCTTCTGTTTTCCTGAGGCCCATTTTTATTTATTTATTTTTTCTCCAGCTTCCACATATGAGAAAAGACATTTGATTCTTGGTTTTCGAGTCTCTTATTTCATGTAGCATGAAGTTCTTATTTCACACCTTTACAGCAAATTACATAGTTTCTTTCTTTTTTATGACTGAATAAACCTCCATTGTGTGTATTTACTACATTTTCTTTTTCCATTCATCTATCGATGGACACCCTGTCTGGTTCCATAACGTGGCCATTGCAAATCTCACTGGTACCAACACTGATGTGCCTGTGTCCCTACAGTACGCTGATTTTAGTTCTTTTGTGTAAATACCAAGGAATGGGATTGCTGGGTTACACGGTGTTTCCAATCCTACTCTTTTGGGAAATCCCCATGCTGCTTTCCACAGTGGACATTCTAACCTGCCTTCTCTCCAGCCTTGGTTATTATTTGTGCCCTTGATGATTACTATTCTAACTGGAGGGAGGTGAAATCCTAATGTAGTTTTTATTGGCATTTCCCTGATTGCTAAGGATGTGGAGCATTTTTTTTCACATATTTGTTGGCCATCTGTATTTGTTTTTTGTTTTTAGAAATGTGTATTTAGTTCATTTTTCCATTTATTTATTGGGATATTTGAGGGATTCGGATGTTAAGTTTTTGAGTTATTTATGTATTCTGGATGTTAATGTTCTGTCAGAAGAGAAAATGACAAATATTTTTCTCCCATTCTATGGGGGCTCTGTCTTCCCCTTGATTGTTTAATTTTGATCACTATCTATTGAATTTGTTATTTCTTCTCAGAGGGGAAGGTTGTTAGTATTTCTGAGACAATGTTGTCATCTGAGTTGATCTACTGGTGATGCAACTGCATTGAATTAGTTATAAAGAGATAATGGATGCTCCCATGTGATAAACATGTGATGAATGCTATTATTAAATAATTAAATAATGCAAAATAAAATTTAGATATTATTATTTAAACTAATTATTAATTATAAGGGTAATCTTCCTACCACTCAACCAAAGTACGCTGTTGCCTAAAATTACCATTCTCCAATTTTCTCCAATTTCTGTTTTGAGATAAAATTTATATTTGATAATCATATGCTAGATATTTGGACAAGAATGATTAGCTCTCTTCACCTCTGATTCTCTATTCTACCTTGCATGGCATAAAGTTAGTGTAAAAAATATCAGAGGGCTGGTGTTTTAGCTCCGTTGTAGAGTGCTTGCCTAGCTTGTGGAATTTTACAGATATTTTACACACATTCTGTATATAGTGGCAACTCCAAGATCCAGAACTAAAATTTTCATTTTCTAACTTGTGCTCCAGGCTCCTATGTCCTGTACTAGTGAAAATGGAAATATTATTCCCATTGCATTATGAAATGTCTTCATGAGTTCTTGTGGAAGGATTATCACAAAACAGAATGCAGGGATATTTTGATAGTATAACTGAAGAATACAATGATGTAATTGATAATAACTGATTTGATCAGAGTATCAAATGTAGATAACTAATATTAAAATTGAACACGCATCAATTATTGGAAGTCAAACAACTATCTCCCATAAACATAACACATACAAATTCTAACTTGTGTTATACAAACAGAGTCACAGGAAGTTTAAAAGGATTATTGTCAAAATAAATTGACATACTAAATGATGTCCTTTCCCTGGGTAATGGTGTGTAAAATACAAAGCTTTTAAGGTCATCGTGTGTATTATACAAGGAGATATAAAACCACATGTCAATGGACACTAGTGTATTTGAGGGACAATAGGTATTACTACTTAGATGAACTTTAGAAACTGTAAGGTAAGTTTGAAAGAAAAATGTCCATAGATACCTAAACCAATACTTCTATGGTAACATTGAGAAAAAAATATATGAACTAAATTCATGATGGTGGTTGTTTCTGGGGGACAGATATACAAGAGAATGGAACCATGCAGAGATACCAAGAACTCAAATGTCTAGAGGATAATTCACATCTTCACAAAGTAGGAGTTTTATGCAAATATTAAAGTTTTATATGTTCTTGCAAGTAGTACTATTATCAGGGGTGACTAATATTGATGGACCTTTGTTTAAATGCCAGGGAATAATCAAAGGCATCTGTTGGTAACTCTGGTGTAAGAAATGACCATCAGGATCTGGGTGTGGTGGCACACACCTGTA